TGGGGAAAGCTGCAGGGTGGAGAGTGAACCTGGGGCATCTAAGCCCCGCATAGAGCCCAGCACAGACCCGGCCTTGCACCTACTAGAACTTCAGGAATGTCCTTCATGCTCTGCTGTGGGCTGAGTAAGTCACATGATTACCTTGTACAATGCTAGAGATTTGTATTTTTATCCCCATTTTTTGGATGAGGAAATGCTTCAGATAAGGCTCCACCTTGTTAAATAAATAGGATGTATGGAAAAATAGACTGCAGAAAAGGGGAACTCATTTAGCTCATACGTGGTAGAGATTGAAAATTAACCTCTCAGTACAAAGCATTCGTGGGCAGAGGTGTTAATTTTCTTAAAGTGTAGAAAGAAGAGACTTGTTGCTTCCTGAGGCTGCGTCAGGGTGTTGGGTTAGGCAGGTACTGATGCCAACTGTCATTTCACCCTCCTCTTCCCCTCTGAACACAGACCCTTGGGTCCTTCTCTCTCATGACATTGATGAGAAATCTCATTCAGGGCAGGCTAGGGATGCCAGGATCTGGACTCAGGCCTCCTCAGCATGGCCTAGGCCTTGCACGCTGAGGCTCTGAAATCCAGGAAAAATGGCTGACCCATGGACACTTCCTCAAACTCTGCAGCGGATGTGATTCTGGATCCAGACACGGCAAACCCTATCCTCCTTGTTTCTGAGGACCAGAGGACTGTGCAGCGTGCCAAGGAGCGTCAGGATCTACCAGACAACCCTGAGAGATTTGATTGGCATTTTTGTGTTCTCGGCTGTGAAAGCTTCATGTCAGGGAGACATTACTGGGAGGTGGAGGTGGGGGACAGGAAAGAGTGGCATATAGGTGTGTGTAGTAAGAACGTGCAGAGAAAAGGCTGGGTCAAAATGACACCTGAGAACGGATTCTGGACTATGGGGCTGACTGATGGGAATAAGTATCGGACTCTAACTGAGCCCAGAACCAACCTGAAACTTGCTCAGCCCCCTAGGAAAGTGGGGGTCTTCCTGGATTGTGAGACTGGAGATGTCTCATTCTACAATGCTGTGGATGGATCGCATATTCACACTTTCCTGGACATCTCCTTTTCTGAGCCTCTGTATCCTGTTTTCAGAATTTTGACCTTGGAGCCCACTGCCCTGACCATTTGCCCAGCGCCAAAAGGAGTAGAGAGTTCCCCGGATCCCGACCTAGTTGCACCTGATCATCCTCTAGAGACACCAGTGGCCCCGGGCTTAGCTAACCAAAGTGGGGAGCCTCAGGCCGAAGTAACGTCCCTGCTTCTCCCTGCCCAGCCTGGAGCTGACAGCCTCCCCCTTCACAGCAACCAAGCAGAGGCATAAGACTGCAGACATACACTGAAGCACTTTACTGATGATACTCATTCAATTATTCATACGATAGTTGTTTGGGTTTGGTACCACTTATTGTCCCCTTATACAGATAAGGAAACTGGGGTGCAGAAAAGTGAATTCGCTTTACAAAGTAGACATGACTAGTGAACAACAGAGCTGGGATCTATTCATCAATGACTAACATTAGTAGAGAATTTTAAACGTTCTGACTGCCGTGTTATGAGCTTTGGTGGCTGTTACTCCTTTAATCCTCACAGCACTCTGTCAGGTAGTCTCATTTTATGAGTATGGAAGCTGAGGCAGGGTGACATTAAGTAACCTGCATAACTCATACGGTAATTTGTGCAGTTGGGAGACGTTCAGCCTCAGTCCCTGGCCACTTGCCCATTCTTTTCCAGCCTGATTCTTCCCCCATGGGAAGAATCCACCTGTAGCCCTGAGGTTCCCTTCCCAGGACAGCTCCAGGGTGGGGATCATTGTAGGTGGTTGTGGGGTTGACGCCCCTATTGACTCCTTCCCAGCTGATGGTCAGAGCCTTAGACCCAGCACTCCTTGGATTAGCTCTGCTGAGTGTCTTGGTTGAGAGAATAACCTCACGGTACCCACATGACACGTGACTTGGAAGGAGACTCGAGGCCACACTCAGTAAATAATGGTGCACAGGTGTGCCCACTCAACAACTATGCTGAGTGACCATGCAGCCAGAGCCAGGCTTCTTGCAGTCAGGGTTTCCAGGCAGAGCTAATACCCTAAAGATTCTCTGTGATGCAGGAAATGTAGATGAAGGAAGCTAGAACTACAGGGATGATGATGATGGTGATTAGAGACAGAGTCTCTCTCACTCTGTTGCCAGGCTGAAGTGCAGTGTCGCGATCTCAGCTCACTGCAACAACCTCGCGGGTTCAAGTGATTCTCCTGCCTCAACCTCCTGAGTAGCTGGGACTACGGGCACAAGCCACCATGCCCAGTTGATATTTGTGCTTTTACTAGAGATAAGGGTTAACCATGTTGACCAGGATCGTCTCGATCTTTTGACCTTGTGATTTGCCTGCCTCAGACTCCCAAAGTTCTGGGATTACAGGGTTGAGCCACTGCACTGGCCTACAGGGATATTTTAAATCCTGCCATGGACTCTGTCTCCAGAAAACAGGTCTGTCCATCCCTGCTCATTGGTGAATGTTAAACCAATATTCCTTTCAACTGCTGCATGCTAGAGAAAACTACTCCTCATTATCATCACTATTATTGCTCCCCACCGTATCCCCTCTACTTGGCATGTGCTTGTCAAGTTCTAGTTTTCAATAAATTTGTGAATAATGCTTACTCTTCAACTTGGCTTTTTCTAGATTCCGGTGTTTACTCAGCACAGTAGAGTAGTCCACACACCTACTATACTCCCCATAGTGTCGGTTTACCTCACTGCAGCGTTTTCACAAAACCTTTATTGTATGTATTTTCTTCTGCTGTCATGATAAATTACCACAAATTTTTAGACTTAAAGTAATACAAATTTTAGGTTCACAGTTGTATAGGTCAGAAGTCCAATAGAGATCTCACCAGGTTAAGATCAAGGTGTCTGCATGCTGGATTCTTTTCTGGAGCCTCTAGAGAACAATATGTTTTCTTGTTTTTTCAGATTGCTGGCAGAATTCAGTTCCTTGCAATTATAAGACAGAGGTCCCAGTTGCTTACTAGTTACAGCTCAAGGCTGTTCCCATCTCTAGAGGCTGCTGTGCTTCGGCTCCCAGCTCCCTTCTTGCATCTGCAAAGCAGAAACTGTGCACTGAGGACCTGTCAATCTTTGAAGTTTTTCTGGTTCTTTTTCCATTGCATCTTTCTGATTCTTTTGCCTTCTACTTTTGAGAATTCCTGTGATAAGATTAAGTCCACGTAGAATAATCATCATATTTTAAGGTCCATAGACATTTGGGGGGACTATTGACAATATTTGCCACTTAGAAATTTCTTCCACCAGATACCCTAATCATCTCACTGGAGCTCAAAGTTCCACAGATCTCTAGGGCAGGGACAAAATGCCGCCAGTCTTTTTGCATAGCAAGAGTGACCTTTACTCCAGTTCCCAACCAATTCGTCATCTCTATCTGAGACTACCTCAGCCTAGACTTAATTGTCCATATCACTATCAGCATTTGTTCAAAGTCATTCAACAAGTCTCTAGGAAGTTCCAAACTTTCTCACATTTTCCTGTCTTCTTCTGAGCCCTCCAAACTGTTCCAACCTCTTCCTGTTACCCGGTTCCAAAGTCACTTCCACATCCTTGGATATCCTTATAGCAGTACCCCACTCTACCAGTACCAATATACTGTACTAGTCTGTTGTCATGCTACTATGAAGGACTGCCTGAGACTGGGTAATTTATAAAGGAAAGAGGTATAATTGACTCATGGTACGACTGGGGAGGACTCAGGAAATTTACAATCATGGCAGAAGTGGAAGCAAACACGTTCTTCTTCACATGATGGCAGAAAGACGAAGTGCTGAGCAAAAGAGGGGGAAATGTCCCTTATAAAACCATCAGATGTCATGAGAACTGACTATTATGAGAACAGCATGGAGGTAACTGCCCCCATGATTCAATTACTTCCCACTAGGTCCCTTCTACAATATATGGGGATTATTGGAACTGTAATTCAAGATGATATTTGGCTGGAGACACAGCCAAACCGTATCACGTGGTTTCTTGCTAAGCTACCTGATAAGCAATCAATTCTATTCCTGCCCATAACACATATGTTTCCCTCTGGTACAGGTCAGCTTTGGCAGAAGATGAAACTTAGCTTAGCTAGATACTTCTGGAACAAGCTGCTTCAGAAGCCCTGGGCTTTATTTCTTCAGATAAAAAATCTGAAGCCAGATCTCAGCCTGATCAGCCAAGCTTTTGAATCCCTACAACCTCCTCTTCTGTTTCTTCCAAAGAACTGCTTAGGCTTGGCTGGAATGATCAAATACTTATTATGATTTTATCCTCATTAGCCACTCAGCCTAGAATCCAATTTTAATTATGCTGCAGAAGCATCAAGTGATGGGTGAGACTGCTGTTTCAGTTTAAGGGTCAGTCGAATAGAAAAAGCGGTTCTTAGTAATGTCTTTAGTTTATTCTCGTCAAAGAGCTTCCTCTGCAGATGAAACCTACTAGTTCTTCCTTCCTGGTCCTTGAACTTCTAACCTGGAGTGGTTTAATCTTGCTGCCATCTCTCTCTGGCACTCTAGTGCCTAATGATTTCAGAAACTGGGCCACACTGTGGGGGGAATAACCTTACCCTTAGCACGTCACTCACTCACTGAACAACAGCTGAGAGCAGAGCTTAGGCCTGGGCCCTATAAGGAGAGAGGAATCACATGCTGCAGAGGTCTGTCCTGAGGAGCAGGTACTCTAGCCACAGCAGAGACACAGTTGATGCCTGGATCACAATAATAGAAGACAGGACATGAGAACAGCAAAAGATGTGGGTGTCAGAAGAGGCTGAGAACACTTCAGGCAGGAGCACTGAGTTGTGCTCAGAGGAAGTAGGCATGAAGGCTGGGCAGGATTTTAAGGGCAGAGATGGAGCAAACAATTCAAGTGAAAGACATGGCATGGAAAGGGAGCGCTGGCCACAGGGAGTGCAACGTTGTGACGCAAGGCCACTGTGGAGCCATTGCTAGTGTATTAATGCAAAGCTTGGAATTGAATCGGAAGGGAATTTGAGGCCTCCAGACTAAGCATTTAGTCACTTGAGGGGGATATTCACAACTGGGAGCCGGGAAGATTATTCTGGAAGATATCTTTACAATGTCAAGATTGGAGTCTGTGGGGAAGGGATTACCTTTTGGGGAGGACGGTATGTGTTCCCGTGTCTGTGTGTGTGCTGGTGTGTGTGGTCCTTGGACCCAACCCAAACACCTACTGGCAGAAGGAAATGGCCAACTAGAAAGTTTTGCTCACTTTCATCTTCTGCCCCCACCAGAATGCCACCTCCCTGAGGAAAAGGGTTTTTGCTGCTCACTCAATATCCTCAGCACCTCTTATCCAATAGCTCTGGAATGAATGACAAGACCTTCATAACAGCTAGTGCAACTGCTGTCTCCTTTCCTTTGCTACCCCTCCCTCTCCAGCCATGCCTGCTTCCCCCAAGCCCTTCCGCGCTCCGGGCCCAACCTCAAACCCAGCAACTTGAACAAGAGTCGTCTGGCTTTGGAAAGAAGGCGGCTTATGTTTTCCTCCTCATGTTTCCTCCCCAGCAAAATCGTTCGCTGCATTCAGAAGCCTCTCCTTGTGGATACCAGCAAGGGCACCAACCTCGGGGACACTCCTCGGGGAATCTCAAGGCTTGAGAGAGAAAGAGAGAGAGGAGAGAAAAAGTAACTTGCTTTCGAACAAAGAAAAAGTAAATAAAAAGACCCAGTAGCAATTTGCTACTTGAGATTTCTGATTCCGTGTATTCTACCTAGCAACTGCTGAGAAATAAGGCTCGACCCCATTGGCTGGTTCACTTACCCGCGGCCAATCCTGGCTCGAAACTATTTAGGGAACTCCTGGGAACCTGCGGACGCCGGGAGAATCAGATTCCGGTATCGCCATAAGTGGGACGTGAGGACTTTTTGTCCTCTTTAGGGACGGTTTGTGTCTAGTAGTGCCCGTGCCCCTGGGCAGGTTGGAGAGAAGGACGGCTGGAGAATCGTCATGTGAGGACCAGAGGAGAAAAGACGCCAAGTTAATTCTACAAGGTGCGGAGGGGAGGGGAGGCGCCACAGCTCCGGGGCGGGCGGTAGGGGGAGCGGCATCCGCTGTGGACGCGAGCGCGGGGCCTGGGAGAGGGAGGCCACGGCGGGGAGGCGCGGGCTCGCCGGGCTTTACCTCGCGTGGCCTGGCCTGGGTGCGGGAGCGGGAGCGGGAGCGGGAGCGGGAGGGGGAGGGGAGGGGAGGGGAGGGGAGGGGGAAAGGGGAAGGGAAAGGGGAAGGGAAAGGGAAAGGGAAGGGGGGGGAAGAGTCCAGCGGCCACAGAAGAAAGCGGACGCTGGCCAGAGAAGTGAGTGGAGGAAGGCGGGAAACGGCCCACTCCATCTTTGCCCTGATTGCTTATTCCATG